TGATGGAGAAATGTAGGCTGTCTTTGTGTTTCCTTCCTGTTAGGCTGCATGTGATTATGCATACATATGTTTTTAAAGAGATAAGAGTGAAATTCTACTTTTGTATAATGTTTATCTTGCTGACTTCTTCCTATCTTTTCACATCCCCATTTTATCCCCAGCTCACCACCCTTCCCTTTCTCCCTTGCACCATCTTATCTGAGCTGAGCTCCAGAGCCCTGTTATCTTCTCCCTGTGTAGTTACTGAAGGCCGACCATTTGAAATTCATGTGAGTGGCTTGCTTACTGTAAGCAGAGTATTCAGTATGTATGACAGTAAACTGAAGCGTGGCAGGGTGGGGGTGATGCAAAACCTCTAGTTGTCCTCCCACTGGAGAAACAAATCCACTAGTTCATAGATTGGGTTCCTGCTCATGGGGCACAGAAAGCTGCCAGGGTCAGTCAAACAAGTACTTGAGAATCCTTGAGTTTCATTAGTGAACAACAGTCTCACTTTGCTCTTCATAGAGAATGCCAAGGCCTTAGAGAGCAGAAGAGGACTGGGTGTTAAGAGGGTGGTACATGGGCTCGTAAATGGGAGTTGGGGGATATTTTCCATATGAGTCAGGTGGTTTCCAGGGAGAAATGAGGCCTCATTTTGTAATGTCATGTCAGCCCATGAGTTGGCCCTCAGAGGTTGGGGCTCAACCACAGCTTCTATAATTTTTGTATTTTAGCAAAAGCTAAGAATGAAGACTAACCCTTTCAAGATAGGTTTCTTCATATTGGTTTTCACTAAGGAGCTATGGTGTAATAATAATTTGCATGTGTTTGGTGTTTCTGAGCCCTTTCTGGAAGCTCTCTCATTTGATCTTCTCCTCAGTCTGCAAGTACAGTTAGGCAGGTTTTATGAGTGATGAACCAAAGCTGGAAGAAGCCCAGTCGAGGTCCTATAGCCAATTAGGGATTTGAAACCAGTTCTCCACTGCTTGTTTCATCACCCCATTGCATCTAATCCCAGTTACTAAAGTTGTGTTGATCTTACAAACTTATTAAAGGCATAGTAGAAGAACTTCGAGATCCACAGATGAAGGGTGGCTTACAGGTTTAAAATATCAAGCAAAAGGAAAAAATGCCTATAAAAAAATACGAAGACTGAAGAGAGAGAGAATGTTTTTATCAGAGAAGCTAAGAATTTAAAAGTTCAGTATCATTTCATCAAAGTCATAAATAACCTGGGCTCAGTATTTCTACTGGTTTCAGCTGTCTTCTGTGCTTTTTTGGCTGTTTGCATGTGTACACACATACACACCCTTACCCATCTTCCTAGGGTCTCGCTGTTGTAAATGCAGGCATGCAGCCACCCCAGAAAAAGCCAGCAGTCCCACAGCACAAAGGACCTTGTTCCTGGGGAAGAACAAAGGTTACAATAAAAAGTGTCTGCTTTCTGATTTTTTGCTTAGTATGTCTGTGTGTGTTTTTACACTTAACCTTTGGTAAAGTGTAAATTAGGTAAAGAAATTAGATTACCATCATTGTGGTGGTTTTATAAAACCAAAGAAATAAATATTTGGAAGTAATTTTTAAAACTGTTTTGGTTCACTTTTTAGTAAGTACTTGCACAGTTTCGTTGTTTTCTGGCCATTTAAATTTGTACTTGTGGGACTCCAGAGTTTTAACAGAGGCAAGTTATAGGAGTTTTGTGGATGGAAGAACTCATACATAGATAATACATGGCTCTTTTGATTTCATGTATTAAAGGGGGGGTATTACTGATTGTGTTTATTAAACTCCCCAGTAGAGCATTAATCCCCATTCCAGTCTCTCACTCATCCTCTTAAAGCTTTAAGCCACTGAAACCATGGTCATATCGAGTCATGTCTTCTGGCTTATCTTCTTTGTGTATGGTAGTTAAACTCCTGCTTAAATATAGCATTGGGAAACATGCCGTTGTCATAAATGTGTCTCCTAGAGCTCTCAAATAGGCACAGTCCTGAACACTCAGTAGCTCATTGAAGCCTTACCACACACCTGTGAGGTGATTGCAGTTATCCCCACTTTCAGTCTGGTTGAATGTCAGCTCCTCCAGCGCTGTCTTTGGGTGAGTTACTTCACCTTTCTGTAGTTCAGTTTCTTCCTCTGTAAAATGGTGATAATAACTTTCTCGTCATTGGTGTGGTGAGAATTAAGTCTGCCTAAAGCACATAGTGAATGTGCGTATCTGGCCAACAGGTAATGAATGGTTGTAGGCGTTAGCTGTTGTGTTGCCTTACTAGTGTGTGGTTGCATGGCAAAAGAAATCACTGCCACAAGAATCAGAAGTTTGGTTTCTGGTTCTTGCTCTGTTGAATATGTGGCTGGGGGTAAAAAAAAAATTTTTTTCTTTCTGAGCCTCAGTTTTCTTACACCAGCTTCATTTTAACCTTTCATTTGGAAGTAACTTCAAATTTATGAGAGACCAAAACAGTAGTACAGATGTGACACCAATGGCGTATACAACAGAAGACAAAATAAATTGAGTGTATCAGCATTAAAAGTTTTGTGCATCAAAGAGCACCATCTACAGAATAAAAAGGCAGCCAGTAGAGAGAATATATTTGCAAATTGTATGGAGGGGTGTCCAAGCTTTTGGCCTCTCTGGGCCATGTTGGAAGAAGAGGCGTTGTCTTGGGCCACACATTGAATACATTACAACACATAATTGGGGAAAATTTCATAATGTTTCAAGTAAGTTTACAATTTTTGTGTTGGGCTAAATTCATAACCATCCTGAGCCACATACAGCCCACAGGCTGTGGGTTGGACACTGCCGTAGGGATTAATAACCAGAACAGATGAAGAACTACTACTCAACAACCAAAAAAAGAGGAAATCCAATTAAAAAAATAGCCAAAGAACTTCAATAGTTAACTCTCCAAAGAAGATAAACAACCAGTAAGCACATGAAAAAATGCTCAGCATTGCTGATCATAAGGGAAATGTAAATCAAAAGCACTTCACACCATTAGGGCGGCTACTATAAAAATAAATGCCGGCAAGGATGTGGAGAAATCGAAACCCTTGCTCCATTGCTGATGGAAATACAAAATGATGTTGCCAGTGAGCAAAAGACCATGGTGATTCTCAAAAAATTAAACATAGAATTACCATATGATCACCAGTTCTACCTCTAGGTATTTACCCAAAATAAAGGAGTGCAAGAACTCCGAAAAATATTTCTACATCTATAGCAGTGTTCTTTATGACAGCCTGAAAGTTGAAATAACCCAAGTGTCTATTGACAAATGAATGGGTAAAAATGTGGTCTATATATACATAGAAGTATTACTCAATCTTAAACATATATATGCTGAGTGAAGTAAGCCAATTGTAAAAGGTCAGATATTCTGATTACACTTAAACAAGGCACCTGGAGTAGTCATGCTCCCAGGACAATAAAGTGGTGGGTGTAAGGAGCTGGGGGAGGTGGAAGTTGATGTTTAATGGGTACAGTGTTTCAGTTTGGGGTGGTGAATAGTTGGGGAGAGAGGATGTGATGGTTGCAGAAGTGAGTGTACTAAAAAAAAAGTGCCGCTGACTGTATACTTAAACGTGGTTAAATTGATAAATTGAATATATTTTACTATGATTTGTAAAAATGTTTTAACAAATTAATAAAAACATTTGTATTTCCTTTACCCAGATTTACCTATTGTAATATTTTACCCCATTTGCTTTATCATGTGTGAGTATGTACTCTTTTTAAATGATTTTAGAGAGGGAAAGAGAGAAACATCGATATGTTGTTCCACTTATTTATGCGTTCATTGATTGCTTCTTGTACGTGCCCTGACCAGGCATCAAACCTGCAACCTTGGCATATGGGGACGACGCTCTAACAGCTGAGTTACCCGGCCAGGGCCAGTGTGAGTATACTCTTGAGTGAGTATACCTGACCTACCATCTAAATTCCAGTTTTATCATTTGGTCTTGGTAGTATTGTCTTTTAATAGCATTTCCCGCTCCCCCTCCAGTACAGGATAGGGTAGGACATTGTATTTAGTTGTCTTTAGCCTTCCTTTGTCTTTAATAATATTGATGTTTTTGAAGAGCACAGTATATCTCCCTGCCCTGCCCCCCACCTTTTAACAGAGTCTTGCTTGGTTGGTTTGTCCCATGTTCCCTTGTGATTAAATTGAGATTACACCGTCTTGACCAGAAAACTGCACAGGTGATGCTGTGTCCTCCTGAGGTTATGACCTCTGGAGACTCAATACATTTTTAATTAAATACAGAGTAAGAGGAATCAACAAATGTTATAGGAATCTCAGAATGGTCGAGGAAGACATCATAAAGGAGACTTAGCTTACCAGTTTGGTGGAAAGCATATTTCTAAATTTCATAGAATTTTCTCAAATTTTGCATTGATTCAGCTTACTGTTTTCTGTCAGTTTTTATTAAACTTGCACGTGTATAAAATAAATTAAGGGGAAATTACTGATTTCTATTTTTTAATTTAATGAAATAAAGTATATCTTTCAAATGGTGGTCAGGGGTCAACTGATAATTAAATAGGATTCCCCAAATGACTTGGATCCATGTAAAATGACATTGAACGTTGATGTGTGAGAACAAGTCTTTATTTCCTTCCTGGTTTCGTCAAATGGTCTGTACTCTTGGCTTTGCCACCATTCCAGAGCCTTTTAGCTATAGAAAGCTGTGAAAAGTACTGTTTTTGCCAGCTTCTATAGAATGTGTGAATAGTAGTAATGCTATGGGTCTATTCTCAATGCCATCTTTCCCTTCCAGGTTATCCAAACTTTAGCTGAGGAGGTAACAAGCTACTCTGAAGAAGAGTTAGGGTTAATAATAGGTTTTGTTTATGTTAAGGGAATCACTATGACCATCGGTATACATTCAGTGGTTTAACGGGTAGGAGAGCCAAATGCACATTTAAGGCCATTGTTGTAAGGTGATTTTTCTTTCTTCCCAAATGCTTTTTAAAAATGATTCCTGGGCCCTTGTGCCTTTTGTTTCTGCAGTGTAAAGAAAAGCAGCCTGAAACAAGGTCTTAACACCCCTCACCCCCAGCTGCCTCTGAACACGGTGACTGCCAGATCTCCAAACATCAAGTTCAGCTTTGTTCGCCAACCTGTCTGACATGTCGGGACCCGTGCCAAGCAGGGCCAGAGTTTACACAGACGTTAATACGCACAGACCCCGGGAGTACTGGGATTACGAGTCACATGTGGTGGAATGGGGGTAATTGCTTCCTTTTACTTCACTATGCTCACCCCAGGGCCTGACTCTTGTGGGTTTGTTGAGTAATTCATGTCAGGAAACCTCACTGGCTGTGCATTTATAAACCTCAAGATTGAAGGCTGCTTTGCGTTTTCTTTTGCAATGAAGAAGCAAGGTATTGCTTTGACAAATTAACAGTTTTGATGGGCTTATTTAAGAGTCATTTCAGTCTTATTTTCTCCGATTTATATTATTTTGTATACAAAGCTGATAATTGAGAGTTGCCTGTCCACTTGCCTTAGCTAAGGGCTTTGCAGTTAGGTGAGAATACTTTAGGAGACTTCAAAAACGCCAAACTCTTACATAAAATGTTTTTGAGGTCAGAGAACCGTTGTCCCATGATGATTGTGAAGGATGAAACAGTTCTCCAGGAGGGTGTCTTCTTTCTAATGAGAAGCAAAATTAAACCCTAAACACTTGCCCTCATCATGAGACTGGGCATGTGTAACATGGAATTCAGCCCAAATTCCATCTTGAACAGTTGCACTCTGCCCGAACAGCTGTGTTTGCCCTCCTGATTCTCTGCAGTTCGTTTGGATGTTTGCACTTCTTGTCCTAACATGGTCTGTATGTAATTGATCAGGTCATACTTTTTTGTAATAAAAGCATTTTGACATTCAAATGCAAAAGAAAACCATTTGAAAACTTACAGGCTACACTTTATATCTATCCGTATGGGATGTCCATGGCCTGTAAATGGATAAATACAGGCTCCTAAAATTGTTGTGGGTGTATTTTAATCATATTTGGGTCTATTGCCTCTGCCTAAGGACACAGTGTGCTTTAAAAACAGCATCAAGAACCAGTGGTACAATACCAATAAATGTTACCATTATTGATAAATGTAACCATTCCCCTTATTTCACAGGCTTTGGGCTCTAGGAGTACCTCTGTGTTTTACAGAAATTTCAGCTACTCTATACAAATTGAGTGCTTTGCACTTAGATCTGTTAAAATGGCACTGAATACCCCTTTTGAATGTTTGGCATGGTGCTGTCTGGTTTGCTTTTGTTTTCTGTGCCTTCCCACAGGAGGAGAGCTCAACTAGAAATGAGTCCTCTTCCCCCACACCTTCCTTAATTACTGGGTTGTTCGTTGTCCTTAGTACCTTTGCCTGCTCTGTTCATTTAGTTTGTTTTTAGTTGCTCCAGGATAATGAATGGCTGATTGTTTCATGTTGGATTCTCAGTGTCTCCAGCTGAGAGTAAAGAGAATTTAGGCCTCACTGAATGGACCATGTTTGTCATTTAGAGAAAAGTTCTCTAACTTGTAAGCAGAGGCAGAGAGAAAATGTTGGCGCCTTTTTTATTTTTTTTAACCTCTGATGTTTAGTGGTCATGGAAGAAATACGGGCAAAAGTAGAGGAAGGGACCCTCTAACTAGTTCATTATCTGTAGCCTAGTTTGCAAAACTCCATTACATGCACTGTCCTCAGGGCTTGCCTTAGAGGACAGGTGGGAGGGAGGTCAAGCCTATACATTTGAAAGCTATTTAATCTGCAAAAAAAAGGAAAAGAGCCCATAAAAGTCAGCCACTCCCAAAATGTGCTTAATTGAAATATTCTTATAACGTGTTTATTTCTTGCTAAGTGCCAACACTGGGACAGGCGATAGGCAGGAATGTATAAAAATTGCTTTCCAAGGGAAAGCTGTCTCCTGTTGCAAACAAGTACCGGTAACAAACCCAGAGATAAGCTGCTGTGTGGGGTAGTCAGAGGTGTAAACAGCGTGGGGCTGAAAGGATGTAGAGCACACACATTTTTAATTGGCCCAATTAAAAAATTACAAAGAAACCAATTTAGGAATTATGTGAAATACCTCTTATTTCTTTTATTCTTACTGGTAGTAGAGTTTTATTAGTTCAATTAGTACTTGATAATTTGAACTGCTTAAATTATTGTGACTTTGACTCTCTGTTCACAGAAACCAAGATGACTACCAGCTGGTTCGAAAATTAGGCCGGGGTAAATATAGTGAAGTATTCGAAGCCATCAACATCACAAATAATGAAAAAGTCGTTGTTAAAATTCTCAAGGTTAGTACAAGAAGAGAGAGGTCGCAATTTCAGGGAAGTTTGGAATTGAGATGTGTTTTAAGTAACAGTGATTGCCTTTTTAAACTAGCATTTGAAAGTGTTTTTGGAGTGCTTCAATACCTTTATTTTATTGTGTTCTCTGAAATCAGCGGAGATTATCTTCATTTGACAGGTCAGGAAACTAAAGAGAAGTGATTTGACGCAAGTCACATAGCTAGGTTGTGGCCGAGGGAGGGAGTACAGGTTTAATCTTTCAAATCTGATACTGATTTGGTGCCTAATATTGACTTTATCTATTTTTAGTTATATTTCATGCTTTTTAAAAAAGATTTTATTTGTTTATTTTTAGAAAGGGAGGGAAACATGAATGTGTGGTTGGCCTCTTGCTCACCCCCTACCAGGGATCTGGCCTACAACCCAGGCATGTGCCCTGACTGGGAATTGAACTGGTGACTCTTTGGTTCACAGGCTGGCGTTCAATCCACTGAGGCACACCAGCCAGGGCTAGTTATATTTCATGCTTTTGTTTTCAGTGAATTGTTACCTCTACTGTGTAAGGATCAGCATTTAATTTTAGAGAGAGTGGGGAGGGGAGGGAGAGAAGGATCAATGTGCAAGAGAAGCATCTATCAGCTGCCTCTTGAGCGCCCCCAACTGAGGACCTGGCCTGCAACCCAGGCATGTGTCCTGACTGGGAATGTAACCAGCATCCTTTTACCTTGCAAGACAAGACCCAGCAGACTGAGCCACACCAGTCAGGGCATGGCTCAGAGTTTTTTAAAAATACTGATTCTGATTGAGCAGATCTAAGTGGATCTTGGGGATCTGTGTATTTAAAAAATCCAGATTATTGAGCATCAAAGTTTAATAGCTAGTGATCTTATTAATGAAGAAGTGATATAATTTTAAAACAATTTTTGAGAATTGTATCCAGTGTTTCCGTAGTCGGAGGCAGCTGCGTGGTCTGATAGGGTAGACACAGGTCACATGTGGCTTTTGAGCATTTGCAACGTGGCTAGTTCCAACTGAAATATGCTGTAAAGATAAAATAATACTAGATTTAAAAGGCTTCGTACGAAAAGAAAAGAAAAAAGAATAAAAATTGGTCATTAGTAATTTTTTATATTGGTTTACATGTTAAAATAAGATTTTAAATATATTTTGTTAAATAGAATTAATTTTGTTTGTTTCTTTATCTTTTTTAAAATGTATATGTGGCTTGCATTGTATTTCTTTTGGACCAGCACTATTTTAGACTGTTTAGGAGGAAGGTTTGGTGGAGGAGATACAGTTGGATCAAAGCCCTCCTCAGAAAAATGAAAAGCATTTCTGTCCCAGGACAGATGTGGAAATGATGGGTGAGGACAGAGGGATGTGGAAGACGTACTGTAGGGGCTCTGCAGAGTGGTCCTTTTAGAATGGAGAGAGGGCAGTGCTGATCATGGGGCTAGGTGCATGTTAGGGGCTCTGCAGAGTGGTCTTTTTAGAATGGAGAGAGGGCAGTGCTGATCATGGGGCTAGGTGGATGTTATGTCCCACTCATGTTCTTGAGTGCTTTTCATATATTTCATCGGATTCTTGAAACAGTCTTATAAGTACTCTTTTTGATAATTTTATGCATAAGGAAAGCCTTAGACGGGTTATGTAACTTTCCCACAGATACACAGCTAGCAGGTAATGAAAGTAGGATTCACATTAGGTGGTCTTGACTTCAAGGCCTACATTTACCTCACAAGTTTATGCTGCACAAAGATGGTTTGGTCGTCCTTGATCTTGGTCCTGTTTCCCTCTTCTGTTGGGTGTTTATAGACTTACAGGATGGAACAGGAAAAGCCCATGTTTGAACCTAATTGGTAAAAAGATTTTTCAAGATATTCGCTAGTACTGTTATCATTTATTACCCTATTCTGTGTAGTTATAAAAAGTTAACATTAAGACTGATGATTGAAATTAAATGCTAATTCTGCAGAGGAGGTCTGGTCTTTGGAATGGAAAGCTGTTTTTTCAGTTCACCATTTGCTAAGTAATCTTAGCAAGGCACAGAGTGCCTTGCAGAGGGTTGGGAGAAGAGGATTCAGAGATGAGTGTGACACATTTCCTCCCTTCAGGGAGCGAATACTAAGCCATTTATGTATTACATTACCTGTTGAAGTACTTCATTTCACTGATGTACTTTTACCCTTTTAGCCAGTAAAGAAGAAGAAAATCAAGCGTGAAATAAAGATTTTGGAGAATTTGCGAGGCGGCCCCAACATCATCACACTGGCAGACATTGTAAAAGACCCCGTGGTGAGTAGAGTAGACGCTAGCAGGGCCCGCCAGGGCTGAGGTGCTGTTTGACCCAGAGCACAGGCCTCTCTCTGTTCCCCTATCTACCATTAAGTGCTGCTTTAAAAGTGCTTAATCAGTTTAGCATTTAACTAGCTTGGGTCTTTCTTTCAAAGAGACCTCCACCCACAGACTATTTCTTATTCTTCTAGGCTAAGAGACTGATAGCACTGGAAACTGAAATGTGTTAATCCATTTTGCAAACTCAGGTCCGATGCCGATGGGCGATGGGCGCATTGTCGGGCTGCCTAGAGCCTGGTGAGACTTCAGCTCCATGTCTTCTGTTTGAAATTCATCCCAAAAATGACCTAAGTGTGGTGATGATCAGAGTTGGGAGGGCTTGTAGCAATAGAGGGTTTCCTACCACTGAGGCAAGGACTGCCAAATTCACCACGTAGCATCCGCAGACATTGTGCCTGGTAAAGCTGCCAGGCTGTTGCTAATGTGTGTTTTCTTTTTCTTTTCCCTAGTCACGAACCCCCGCCTTGGTTTTTGAACACGTAAACAACACAGACTTCAAGGTATAATATATATAACCAACCATTTCAAGTTGTTAGGCTTTTAGACCACATAGAAGGCCTTTTAGGGATATCATTATTAGAAGAACTTCCTTGTAACTTGCTTAAAAAGAGCTTTTCATCTTCATTGTTAAATTTTAAGATAGAGATACTCCTGTACATACTGCCAATTTCCACGTCTTGGTATTTTTGCCCTTTGACTTATTGTGTGTTCTCTTTAATAACCAATATGTTTACTTCTCCCCACCTTTACTATTCACTTAACAGTTTCCACTGATGTCAAACTTAATGAAAGCAATAACATGTGTTCAGTCAAGATCTGGCCGAGGGCATTTCACTTTAAAATGATAGTGTTCAAGAAGGAATGTATTGTATATAAAGCAAGGTCTTATACTTTAGGCTCTAGGTCTTAAAAAGGAATGGGTGGTTAAGGGTGGCATCAATTCTGCTAGAACACGTACCTTTACAGCAGATTTCTCTTAACTTTCAGCCCACCCAGCAGCCTACTTCAAACGATCTCCATTCTATTACAATAGAAAAATGTGGGTGCAATCTTGGGTTTCAAGTTGTAAAGGTACTGACTTGCCTTTGCACTAATTCAGTATCAGAAAATTTTAGGTATCAATAAATGGTTGAATTCTTTTGCTGACATAAGGGAAAAGGGAAGAACTTTTAGAATCAGAACAGTAACTTCAAAGAAAATGTGAGATAACATCACTGTTTAATGAATTGTGCATTTTTTTAAAGACCGTAACTCTTTAGAAACAAAAAGAGATATAACAGTTGTTCAAAATTTACTTTCAATTTGGGACATGAATGCTTCTGTCACATTGGCTTGACAGATTTGTCAGCAAGCCATCTGCATACCCGCTGGTGGTCTGCAGATGGGGTAGTTCCCTACCAAGGAGTCTGTGTGTTTGCCAAAATGCCTTTCATTAGAAGGTCTGGAGGTAAAAGAAAAGCAGACTCAGTTGCAAATGCTGTCAGGGCATGTTACTTACATAAATTGGTATATTCCCAGCAGTGGATTATAGCTTCAGAAATACAAGTTAAAGTAATTCTTGAATTTTGCATGTGGAGTTAAAGACTCAAAGCATCCCTTTAAAGTGAATGTTATGCTGGAGAAGTAGAGATGGATGTAGAAAAAGCTCTTGGGACCACAGCAAATAAGCCAAGTCTTGGTTTAAATTACTACAAGTGAGGATGAGAAATTGCCTTCCATCAGCAGTGTCTCATGGCTTAAATATTGCATTTGTCTTTAACAGCAATTATACCAGACGTTAACAGACTATGATATTCGATTTTACATGTATGAGATTCTGAAGGTAAGGGAACCTTGGATACTAAATATCTAAATTGAACGTCCATTTGTTAATTAACCCAGATGACTCTTTGTAAAATATGTGGAAAGAAGGGCTCTCTTCGTATAAGTTTTTAATAAGTTAACAATATCAGAATTCTGCTCATGTAAAGATTGTAAAATAGGATTTGGTAAGAATATAACTTAGAATGCTGTGGAAAGGGTGCATAGAAGAGAGCTGGGACCCCTTAACTATTTACCATTTCCACCTTGCTCCTATGAAAGTTAACAAATTGTTCAAACTTGTAAAAATAGCTCCTTGTGTACTGGCTTCTGGTATACTTAATCTTACTTAAAATTGAACAAGTAAAACAATAAATTTAGCTGTCAAAGGGTCATTGTCCTAAGGATTATGTAAATCTCTGCTTAGAGATTGCTGGTTTAAAGTGGACTTTGATTTCTAAAGTGAGATTACCAAATATCTTGCTCCTGGTAGTCATAAGACCAATCAGCTTTATAGCTGAAAAAATTGCTAAGAGTTGGCTGGAGTTTCTTACTAAATGAGGGTTGGCATAAAGCCTGCCTTTGAACCTTAGAAGTGTCCTGAAGAGGTGATGCCAGTAGAGGTATTTGACCTTTCCATTGGCTTGTGCAGCCTTGTGGCAAACAGGACTTCATAAAATTAAGGATATGCTTCGTAAAATTAAGGGTATGCTTGCCTGGCCCTGGAAACTGTAGGAATTCAAGTCACCCTTCAAGGACAAGAATTTGGCCAGTGACATCAGCTGACTTAAAAGCTGAAATAAGCAAATCCCCAAAGGTTTTACTACTCGGCTCACCTTAGTTTGAGATTGGACTTGGTTTTCAAGTTGGATTTGATATCATAAATCAGGAGTTGGCCAACTTATTTACAGGGATGGAGAGTAAAATGTTTGATTTTCTGGTCCATAGGGTCCTTCTCACAGTACTCAGCTCTGCTGTTGTAATGTGAAAACAGTCACAGACAACATGCAAACAAGTAGGTGTGGCTGTGTTCCATTACCACAAACATTAGAAAGGCCGCAGGCCATATATGGGCCATGCTTTACCCAACTCTATTGTAAACTCTTAGCTACTAAAGAATTATTGGTCTATGAATAACAGTTTTGTAGTACATATCGGTGTTCTTCTTTTGAGAGGCCCGTATTTGTGAAAGTAATCCAGGATTTGGGTTAGGGAGAGAAATTGGGAGTGATGCAATTGGTGTACACTTTGGGTGTTTTGGAACAGAAAGGTTGTTGTAACAACTGTGTAAGACCAGAACTTTGACATTCAGGGGCCATGATTTTGACTTTGGGGTCTTGAGCAAGTCTCTGAAGACTGCCTCTGGGAGTGTTGTCCTCACTGTGATTCCCAGTGGTGTTGTGAGGCTAGAAGGAAAACTACGGAGGAACAGTGGAGGAATATAAGTAAGGAACTTGAACGAGAAAATCACTGTTAAGCAAGCTGATTCTTTTCTCCCTGTTTCTCTCACAGGCGCTGGATTACTGTCACAGCATGGGAATTATGCACAGAGATGTGAAGCCCCATAATGTCATGATTGATCATGAGCACAGAAAGGTAATATGATAGACTGGCAAATGTCTTCACTGGCTCAATAGAATGTACAGCCTGTCTTCAGTGAATGAATTAACAAATAAGAATGTTTGAACTATTATTTATTCATATTCCTAAGAATACTATCAAAGAAGGAAACAGATTAGTGTAGTAGGCAAAACGGTAACTCCCTTCTCATTTGCCTCCTATTTCTTACTGGTACAGTGTGCATAATATTTGCTCTGCATTGCCACTAGGTTATTGTGAGAATTGAGTGCACACCGCTGTGAAATGGATGAAATATTCAGATAATGCTGCAGCTTGGCAAGTGCCATGAAGCCCCTGAGCTCTCTAAGTACTATTAATGAGATCTGTGCTCACCACGTGCTTTATAGCATTTCAGTTTTGTGAGATAACCAAGCCTACCTTTTACAGGTGGTAATGACTCTGCTGTAAGCTTTGGCAGTGTAGGTGATTTTTTTCCAACTGAAATTCTTTTAGACACACTATGTGGGATTGTTTAGAGGCAGGCGATACATGCAGGAGGCAGATAATAAAAAATCCTTGTCCATGAGGAACTTGCCTTTGGGGGAGGCTGGTGGGCTAGAAAGTTAAAAGTGACATGGAAGAAAAGTAAGTTAGGCATAGGGAACAGCGGAGAGTGTTGTGTTTTAAACAAGGGGTAAGAGGAAGATTTCATTGCGAAAGTGATTTTAGAGGATACTTGAAGGGCACCAGCCACGCAGCCTTGGGAAGAAATGTGTCCTAGGTAGAGGATGCAAAAGCCCTGAGGCAGGAATGTGCCTGGGTTGTAGGAACAGTGATAAGGATAGATCTGGGATTAGAATGACTGGAGAGAAAGGAAGGAGATGGTAAAGTTTTCTTTACTAAGGGGTAAAGAAAACCAGATCGTGTTAGGCCTTTTCTCTAAAGATGCAAGATTTTACAGTTTGAGGAAAGGGTTGGCAAGCTCTCACTTGCCTTTTCAAAAGTTTACTGCATATCACCCTAGCCAGGTGGCTCAGTTGGTTGGAGCTTCATCCCATGATTACCAGTCAGTGCAGGTTTGGTTCCTAATAGTGGTATGTAGGAGGCAACCAATTGATGTTTCTCATATCCCCCCACCTCTCCCTCTCTCCTCCTCCCCCTCGTCCCTTCTCTTATGCAGAGAAACTCAAGTCTCTCATACATGACTGGTGGGAATATAAGGTGGCACAGCCATTTTGGAAAATGCCAGACTGTTGTTTTATACTTTGTTGGATTCTTTAAAAGCTAAACAAACAGCCCTGGCTCTTCTGATTGGGCCCATTGTCCCATAAAGGGAGGAGTTGCGGGTTTGAATCCCAGTCAAGGCACATGCCTATTGTGGGATCAGGACCACTTGGTGTGTACGTGGAAGGTAGCTGATCGATGTTTCTCTCCCTTTCTTTCTCCTTCTGTTTCTCTAAATAAATAAATAAGCCAGTAAATAACTAACTAACTAACTAAATAAATAAAGCTTTAGAAAAATCTAAATAGCCCTTGTTAATGTGGCTTAGTGGATAAAGAATGGCTTGTGAACTGAAAGGTTGCTGATTTGATTCCCAGTCAGGGCATATGCCTTGATTGCAAGCCAGGTCCCCGGTTGGGGGCGTGCGAGCGACAACTGGTCCATGTTTCTCCCCTTCTCTTTCTCTCTTCCTTCTCCTCTCTCTTAAAATAAATAAATTTTAAAAAATATTGTTTAAAAACCTAAACAAACATATGCGTATGCATAACAAATGATCCTTAGTTCCACACAGAAACCTGTATATGAATATAGTCTATTTTTGTAATAGTTGAAAATTAGGAGGAAAAGCATTCTTCAGTGAGGAAATAGTTAATCAAACTGGTATGTATATACCATGTAGTGTTACTACTGAATAGTATTACTCAGCAATAGAAAGGAAAGATAATGAATGCCACAACTTGGTTGGATCTCTTGCTAAGTTGGAAAAAAATCTCAAAAAGTTATGCTGATTATTCCATCTATAATAACATTTTCAAAATAATAAAAAGTTAGAGAACAGGGGTTGCCACAGGTTAGAAAGTGGAGAACAAATAGCATAAGGGACAGCTGTGGTGATGGGACAATTCTGTATCTTATGATAGGAGTTCTCCAAATCTACACATGATAAAATTACATAGAATTACACACACACACACCCTAACACGGGAAACTGGTGAAATAGAAGGTCTGGCTGTGAATTGTGCCTATGTCAATTTCCTGGTTTTGGTATTATACTGTGGTTATATAAGATGTTACCATTGGGGAAATGTAAAGCTAGATAAAGAGTACATAGAACATCTCCAATTCCTGTGAGTTTGTAATAATTTTTCAATGTGAAGCTTTTGAAAAGGGGCATTCTGGCTGCTGTGTAGAGGATAGAGGGCAAGAGCGAAAGTAGCTTGACTAACTAGGAGAAGGGGCTGTGGCAGTAAATCAGTCTCGAGATGGTGGTGGCGTGTGTGGACCAGGGCGGTAGCAGTGGAATAATAATCATGGTCAGAGTATGGTAGAGCCAACGGGATTTGTTGACAGATGTGGGGTGTCAGGGAAACAAGAGTCCAAGGTGAAATTTTTTGGCCTGAGGGACAAGATCAGTGGAATGACCTTTAATCGAGAAGAAGGGGTTAGGCGGCAGGAGAAACAGAATAATCAGAGGTGTAGCCTTTGAGGTGTGTGTTAGGTGACCAGAGAGGGAGAGGTGGCTGGTAGGATACATGGGCTAGCGGATAGGTACAAAATGCTGACATGCTGTGTGTGAAGCCACAAGACCAGAAATACTCTTCTGAGAATACTTGGTAAGAAAGGAAACTCAGGGATAGCTCCGGAGCACTTTTATTAGGGGTTGAAGAGAAAGACTATAAAAAATTATACTTTCACCCTGGCTGGTGTGTCTCAGTGGATTGACCACCAGCCTATGAACCAAAAATGTTGCTGGTTTGATTCCCAGTCAGGGTTCATGCCAGAATGGGTTGCAGGCCAGGTCCCCAGTGGGGGACTCGGGTGGGAGAGGTAGCCAATGTGTCTCTCCCATTCTCCCTTTCCCTCTAACTACAAATAAATAAAATAGTTTTTTTAAATTTATACTTTCTTTCATACCTTTTGTTGTAGTACCTTTTACTTACCAAAACAAGGAGGGTGCTGTACCTAGTTAACAGTGAACTTACAGAGACAGTGACGAGAGCAGTCAGGCGTTTGTCAGCCTCTGCTGCCCACACTTCAGATCACGGTTGTGCTTTGCACAGTGGACAAATAAGGTTGCCTCTCATCCTTGCTAGTGCTGCCACTTTCAGGATACATTTTAATAAGGACCGTTTGATGTGGTTTTTCTCTTCCTTCACTCAGCAAATATTTTTATTTTTCTCATGTGTCCTGGGTAATATGTTGTATTTTAAAAATTACAAAAGTGAATGAAATCATCCCTCCCTTGAAGGAGTTTGCAGTCCATTTGGAAAAAGAAAGATAGAAAACAAAGTACAATAATAGAGTTGTGGGTTTGCCCTGCCAGGTGGCTTAGTTGGTTGGCGCATCAGCCTGTATACCAAAAGGTTGTGGGTTCGATCCCTAGTCACAGTGCGGATGGAAGGCAGCCAGTTAGTGTTTCTCTCACATTGATGTTTCTCCCTCTTCCTTCTTCTCTAAAGGCAATAAACGTATCCTTGGATGAGAATGAAAACAAATAGAAAGTATTATAGGTTCTCTTAAAGAAGTATACTTGAGGTTCAAGGACGGCTAAAGGCAGTGGATCTATTTGTTATTTAGAAAAAACTTCAGTGAAGTGGCTAACTTTCATCTTGAAAGATAAGATGTTCGCCAGTAGGAGTCTGGGTTGGATAGTCTTGATGTTCTACTGAGGTGGACAGTGTAAGAAATTTGCAGAAGCACAAAATAAAATTGTCTTTCAACAAGTCCTCCTGGAGCACAAGAAGTAAGTCACAGAGACCCCCATATGTCAAGTTAAACAGTTGCCAAAGTTTGATTTTCATCTTAACCATGGGGGTGAGCAAAAGGAGGTTTACAGTTGTAAGTACACAAAACACAGAGTTGATTTTTGTATTATGTATTTTTCTACACTAACAACTCTAAATCTACTTTTGAAAGAGTACTCTAAAGACAGCATATGGTGTGGTAGCTCGAAAGATAAAACTGCTCATGACTTAAACTCTTCTTTTTTTCTTCTTCTTCTTTTAGCTTCGGCTAATAGACTGGGGTTTAGCTGAGTTTTACCATCCTGGCCAAGAATATAATGTCCGGGTCGCTTCTCGATACTTCAAAGGTCCTGAGCTACTTGTAGACTATCAGGTGGGAAGAACAAGGCAAATGAAACTTTGGTTTATATGTATTTTGTACATAACTTGTAAAAAATGTCATTTTGTGCTTTGAGTCAAGATCATTTATAAACATCCATGGCTGCCTCTTCTATACAAATGTAAAATATAAAATGTGAATCACCTCCGTTTATCTTCCGTAACTTTCATTTTTGTTTTAATGTCAGTGGAATATCCACTGATCTGCATTTGATTCCCACTGAAGAGAAAAGGCACCAAAGCTGACTTTTTCTAATGAGAAACTCCAGAGCCAGTTTGAGGATGGTCAGCTGAGGTGAACCAGCGTAAGGACTAAACTGAAAAAAAGCCCCCCTCCTCCTCCTCCTCACATAAACGAAATCCTTGGGGGCACCTTCGTGCCCAGGCATGCCAGCTGTTGTCATCAGATACCTTAAAAAGTTTGGACTCTAACCTATAAAATTTTTTTGCTGGGATCTTGAGGATGTAACCATGAGCTCAAAAATTTTATGTATAAAAATGTTTTATATTATTGTTTATAGTGGTGAAAACAAATCACTATCCTATTATGGGAAAATTAAAGATTAAATTCTGAAACATTTATGCAGCAAAATGCTACACATTAAAAGGTTTCCACAGATAACAATATGAGGTATTCTCATGTGAGCAAAAAGGTAGTAATTCAAAATAGTATGTACAGATTGTTTTAAAACAGGAAATGCATAGAAAACTGAAAAGTAGTATATGAAGATGTTATTGGTGTTTGGACGTTTTAGTTGAGTAGGTTTTTTGTTTTGTTTTTTTAATAGCAGTTTTTTATTTTGAAAATACAGTTCTTGTTATTTTCATTTATAACTGACTTCTTTTCTACTTTAATGCAGATGTATGATTATAGTTTGGATATGTGGAGTTTGGGTTGTATGCTGGCAAGTATGATTTTCCGGAAGGAGCCATTTTTCCATGGACATGACAATTATGATCAGGTGATAAAGCCGTTCCCATTCGGGAGTGTACCGCTCTAACCAAGTGGTGGCCAGATCTGACTGCTTAGAAACCGCCATGGATTTTGCTGAAACCCAGACGCCCAGCCCCAACCTGAGACCTGTTAACTCTGAGAGGGGGGCCCTAGAACAATTTTCACTTCATGGCTTATTCAGCCAGCTCAACATTGATTCTCATATTGGTGTTTTAGGAGCTACCTGTTTAGCCTTTTGAAATCACTGAGTTTTCCCCCTAGTATTTTTCATTTGTGTTGCTTTATTTTGAATTATACATATAAAATAGGACTTTACCTTAGACTCTCCTAATGTGAGTTTTCATTAGAGCTGGGCGTGCCTTCAGCATGTCAGTTTCCGTATGGTATTCCTGTGATCCTTTTGTCTCTACACAGATTGAGTTGATGTGTGTCAATAGAAATACAGATGATGCTCTTTATAGCAGCTGCACTTCCCTTTGAAAGATCAGTTCACATCAGCACCTCTTTATCAGGTGCCATGCAGGGTTGAGGAATATGTTGAAAAAAGATTAGTTCAACCTCTCGAGTAGTTCACGGTGTATCTAGTAAAGGAATCCAACGTAAGAAGAAATGGGTTGCGGTTGTCAATGCCAGAGCAGAACTGTAGGCAGGTGTGGGAGCGAGTGGTCTGAGTGGCACGGGGAGCTTCCCCAGAGAAGTGGCACCTTTAGCTGGACTGTGAGGGGGAATCTTAGGCCTTCATCGGGGACACATTTCAAGGGGAAGGCTGTAATTGTTTGTTTGTTTTCTTTTTGACACTGTCACATCGAGTACTGATTTAGGGAATTTTATGTGGAAATCCATTCCTGCCATGCATAGAAATTCCATTTAAATCGGGTGTAATGTCCATGCCTATAGCCATGATGATCCCTTTCTGTTAATCCAGTCATGGTTATTGTTTATTTAATCATGTAACGTGTTTGTTTATGTGGCGTTTTGTCTTTTTTTCCCTCCTAGTTGGTGAGGATAGCCAAGGTACTGGGGACGGAAGATTTATATGACTATATTGACAAATACAACATTGAATTAGATCCACGTTTCAATGATATCTTGGGCAGGTGAGTCATAAAATTTGTTTATCAGTGCCTTAAGCACTTTAAGGCACTCTTTGTAAATTAACTCTTTGGGTCCTCAAAAAATAGGTTCTCTTTACTGACACTGCTGAAGCATCAGTGGCTCAATGGTGTAAATGCTGCTTAGGCATCCTGTAATAAGAGCAGTGGGTTGAATGGCCATTTATCTACTTATAGGATTCTGCGTATGGAGGTCATCGTCAGAAGATTCCTGTAAAATGAATGGACTGCAGATTCTAGTAGAAGGGTTACAGTTGACTCAAATATCCAATTGTCTTTTTTTATTTTTTTACGGTATATTTTATTGATTATGCTATTTCAGTTGTCCTTTTTTTTTTTCTCCCCTTTATTTCCCTCTGCCCTGCAACCCCCTCCCACCAACATCCCCCTGCTCCTTAGTTCATGTCCATGGGTGGTACATATAAACTCTTTGGCTTCTCTATTTCCTATAGTATTCTTAACCTCCCACTGTCCACTTTGTACCAACCATTTATGCTGCTTATTCCCTGTGCCTTTTCTGCCATTTTCATCCCTCCTCCTCCCCACTGATAACCTCCCATGTGATTTCTATTTCTGTGATTCTGTTCCTGTTCTAGTTGTTTGCTTAGTTTGTTTTAGGTTCAGTTGTTAGTTGTGGGTTTGTCGTCATTTTACTGTTCATGGTTTTGATCTTCTTTTGCTTAGATAAGTCCCTTTAACATTTCATATAATAAGGGCTTGGTGATGATGAATTTCTTTAACTTGTCCTTATCTGGGAAGCACTTTATCTGCCTTTCCATTCTAAATTATAGTTTTGCTGGATAGAGCAATCTTGGATGGATGTCCTTGCCTTTCATGACACGAAATACTTCTTTCCAACCCCTTCTTGCCTGCACAGTTTCTTTTGAGAAATCAGCTGATAGTCTTACAGGAACTCCTTTGTAGGTAACTATCTCCTTTCGTCTTACCTTGCTGCTTTTAAGATTCTGTTCTTCTCTTTAATCTTGCGTAATTATGATGTGCCTTGGTGTGTGCTTCCTTGGGTCCACCTTCTTTGGGACTCTCTGAGCTGGCTGGACTTCCTGGAAGTCCTGTTTCCTTTGCCAGATTGGGGAAGTTCCCCTTCATTATTTCTTCAAATAAGTTTGCGATTCCTTCCTCTTCCTTCTCTCCTTCTGGCACCCCTCCTGATTCGGGTGTTGGAACATTTAAAGTTGTCCCAGAGGTTTCTAACCTTTCCTCATTTTTTTGAGTTCTTGTTTCTTCATTCTGTTCTGGCCGGATGTTTCTTTCTTCCTTCTCAAAATCACTGATGCGAGTCCAGGTTTCCTTCCCTTCACTGTTGATTTCTTGTATATTTTCCTTTATTTCACTTTGCATAGCCTTTATTTTTTCCTCTATTTTGCAACCATACTCAACCATTTCTGTGAGTATCCTGATTACCAGTGTTTTGAACTCTGCATTTGATAGGTTGGCTATCTCTTCGTTGCTTAGTTGTATTTTTTCTGGAGCTTTGATCCATTCTTTCATTTAGGCCATATTTCTTTGTCTCAGTGCTCTTGTTATGTTGTAAGGGGCAGAGCCTTAGGTATTTACCAGGATGGGGCAACCCACATCACTGTATTTGAGAGGGGAGTCAGAGAGAACCATGCTGCTTGCTCAGCTCTCGCCCCTCTTTCAGTCACTTTCCCTGTTACCCACAAGCAAATTGGGCCCTTCTGGTGCTGATTCCCGGGTGGGTGGGTTTGTATACATCTGGGACCCTGTGGGTCTCTCCAACGAACTCTCCTGTGAGGCTGGGAGCTTCTCCTGCTGCCACAGCCCCTGCAACTTTTTATAACCAGGGGGTTTTAAGTCTTTCTTTTTCCTCCCTGGAACCTTGGGTTGTGTGGTCTGTCTCACTCCCCAGTCGTTCCTCCTGGTTTATCTGCATGCGAATGTGGGACTGCAAATGTAGGAACGCCCAGTCCACCAGCTGCTGCCTTGCCACGAGTCCTCTCCGCCCATCTCTGCCCATCTCTGCCCCTCTCTGCCCCTCCTACAGGTCTGGATGAATGTTTCTTCTTTAATTCTTTGGTTGTCAGACTTCCATACAGTTCAGTTTTCTGGCAGTTCTGGGTGTTTTTTGTTTTTACATTATTGCTGTCCTCCTTTTCATTTCTCCTTTGTGCAAGGAGGCAAAGTGTATCTATCTACTTATGCTCCATCTTAGCTGGAAGTCAGATACCAAATTATCTTGATTTAGCTTGCTTCTCCCAATGACAAAACCCAGTCTGAGTGAAAAACGCAGTCTGAGTGAAAGAAGTAGTCATAGGAAATGCATGCTTCAGGACTGATGTGCAAACAGTGAACTCTGAAAATAGTGGCTAGACACAGTACTAATTCACTCACCACTTACCAGTGGACTTTCTGGTGCAAAGGCTTTGCCGCCCAGTGGCAGAGATGCTAGGAGTGTGTAGGGGTGGGAGAGAGGCCTGGTTAGCCCAGCCACCTGAGCCACCTTAGAGCGCAGAAGCACTCAGTCCTGTAAGGTAACCTGAATTATGTTTTGTAAAATTGTGAGGACTCGGAATTATCTTTCGTACAACTCTGCTGTTTTCAGTCTCTGCAGTTAGCTTGGTTGTATCCCTGGTGACATAACACTATAAAACTACTGCCTTGAGTTTTGATTTCTTTCTTTTTTTTGTTAAGACTTTACTTATCTTTAGAAATAGGCAAAGGTAAGGGAAAAAAAGAGAGGGAGAAAAACAGAAGAAGAAAGAGAGGGGGAGAAAGATCAGTATGTGGTTGCCTCCTGTGCACCCCCAGTCAGGGATGTGGCCCGCAACCCAGGCATGTGCCCTGGCTGGGAATCGAACCACGACCCCTTTGGTTCTCAGGCCCACACTCAGTCCACTGAGCCACACAGGAATGAAATGTTGGGCTTCTCTGTTGCCCCTTGGTTCATTTCTCATTACTGCTTTTGACTCTGCAGACACTCCCGTAAGCGATGGGAACGCTTTGTCCACAGTGAAAACCAGCACCTTGTCAGCCCTGAGGCCTTGGATTTCTTGGACAAGCTGCTGCGATACGATCACCAGTCACGGCTCACCGCAAGGGAAGCCATGGAGCACCCCTATTTCTGTGAGTCCAGCTGTCCAGTCCACAGACCCTGTGTGGGCCTGCCCAGCAGACTGTACAAGGCAACAGAGTATGTGCTATGAAGAAAGCTCTGGACTCTCGGGACCTGTAAAGGGGAGTTGGAATCCCAGCTCTGCTTAGCTCACGGGAAGGTTTTTTCACCCACAGGGAGCCTCGGCTTCTCCAAGTAGGGACAGTAATGGCAACTGTCTTACAGAATTGTTGGAGGGATTCTCGTCTAACAGCGTGCTTAATATGGTTGCTCCTAAGTAACTGCTTTTCTTACTGTGTGGGTGACACTTTTCAGTGGCCAGATAGTCCGGAATGGTTGGATTATAACAAGTAGCCCTGTGTCTGTCCTCTCTCTGGTTATCATTTGTTGGAAAGATCCAGGGAAGTGTGAGCATTTTAACTGTGTGAACAACTTGACTTAGGGTTGTGAATGTAGCTAAGTGTGCTGTTCTGGGTGAAAATGTCACTTAGCCCAGCCCATCCTTACTGTGATGTCAACTTCAGCATTGGGTTGTTCCTTGGAGTGGTAAGGTGGTTTTGTAGTTCGTCGATTGTACTGTTGCACAATCTCCTGTAGCTGAAGCAGACTGACATGGCTTCTGTGTTAACAGCACTGATTTGCACAGCCTGTGGCTTCGTCCTATATGGTACCTGGGTGACCAGCTGAGTTGTAGACTGCAGTAAGATCAGTTCACTCTGATAATACATTACTCTCCAGGCTAGTCAGATTATATTGTCTCATTAAACACTAGTGGGATTACTTTTGCTTTAAAAAGTAGTTCTACCCTGGATAATTACTTCATCTTCCAACTGTTTAGTTTAAGAGGTTACCTTTACTAGTTTGGTAGGAAAGATGATTCTATTTTCTGTTACTTGTCTAATTCATGGTGAAAACAAAGCCACCTTAAGTTTTTCTGGGAATAATACAAAGTGCACGTAAAATTCAGAGAGTGAGGGTGACTGTTTTAAGACCATTCGTTTAATCATTAAGCACAACAGAACCTAACATTTTTACCTCTTTTTTCCTAGACACTGTTGTTAAGGACCAGGCTCGAATGGGCTCATCGAACATGCCAGGAGGCAGTACACCTGTCAGCAGCGCCAATATGATGTCAGGTCGGTTCGTTGTTAAATCTCTTGGTTTTTAAAGATTTTGTTTATTTCTTTTAAAGATTTTATTTGTTTATTTTTAGAAAGCTGGGAAAGGAGGGAGAAGAAGAGGGAGAGAAATACCAGTGTGTGGTTGCCTCTCATACACCCCTACTGGGGACCTGGCCCACAACCCAGGCATGTGCTCTGACAGGAATCAAACCAGTGACCCTTTGGTTCACAGGCTGGCACTTAATCCACTGAGCCACACCAGCCAGAGCTTGCTTTTTTCTTTCTTTTTTTTTTTTAAGATTGATGGATTGATTGATCAATTGATTGATTTCAGAGAGGGAAAAAGGGAGGGAGAGAAACATCAATGTGTGGTTGCCTCTTACATGCCTGCAACCAGAGACCTGGCCTATATATATAGTCCAGGCGTGTCCCTTGACCCTGAATCGACCTTTGACCTTTTCAGGTTGCAGGACACTCCCATCCCAGTCAGCCACACCAGCAGGGCTTTTGTTAAATTTCTAAGAAAACAAAAGGTAGAAGTCAGTTATTCTTTTTCGTCTGTATGTTTATGGCCTGATTTTGTCCCTGTTTGTGGCTGATTTCTTGGGGGCCTCCTTTTCTCTCTAATGATTGCCTAACCTGTGTAGGTTTCAGGATGCTTTTGACACCTGGCGTGCTTGAGTAGACTATCAGTCTGGCTCTTCGAGGCCAGCATCTTAAAATTTGTCACAGTGGGACATGAGTATCTCAGCAAGGCATGGAGAATAATAAGTGATCCTTTTATCTCACAGTTTAGAGTGTCAGCAGTTGACATACACAGTCCTCAGAAAAAAGCTTAAGAAACTAGAGGGGAGTAGAGGTGGGGTTTGCACATGGGGTATATATGTGTGTAAGATTGGCTCTTTGATTTTTTTTTTTTCAGAGTAACTACAGCGTGCTTAGTAAATTGTGAAAATTTATATGAAGTTATTTTTTATTATTGTCAAGTCACTATGATTTAGAGCAAGTTTTGTACAGAGTACACAGTTATTCAGAAGAAATGATAGGCCCATCTTCTCCAAATTATACATGTAGGCCGGAGCCATGTGGGGACACTTGTGGTAGTGAGTCATTTATTCAGGCACCTCAAAGAGTTCTGTTATCCCAGTTGTGTTTCAAGGAACTGCCTGCCTGCCTTCCAGAATTTATCCTCTTGAGTATCTTGCCTATGTGTAAAATGATGTATGTTCAGAGTTATTTGTTGTAGCCTTAGTTGTAATAGAGAAACACTGGAAACAGCTCTCAGTGAGGAACTGGTGAAATGAATTGAGACATCCATTCGGTGGGATGCTATGCAGAGGGAAGAACAAGTGTTCTGCGTTCTTTTCTAGTTCCAACTCTGAGATAATGTGACATGAAATAAGGAAGCTGCAGAACCGTGTCCAAGACCAGTAGATGAAAACACATAATCACATTCCTATATATGATTCTTATATGAATGTCCTTATAAAATTATATCCTTGTGTATGCATTAAATATTTCTGTAAGGAATACACCCCAGAAATGGTGCCATAAGTTGGCCAAGTGACAGGGTAAGGGAGATTTTTTTCATTGTGTAATCTGTTTTAAACCTTTTGTATTTTGAGCCTTATAAATACATTGCCTGTTCAAAAACCATTTTGAAAATTGAATAACTGGCTGACTGAGAACTATTAACAGGTAATTCTCTCATTCCAATCATTAGATGAGTGGAAGAGACTAAATGCAACTAAATTCTCAAACACTATTTTAGCTTTAAATTTAGGAGCCGGGTGCTCCTTTCCCTGCCAAGTGGACTTGGAGGAGTTTTGAAGATTTAGCTGGCGGCTGACGTGGGCACGTGGGCTTTGACTTTAGCCCTCGCCTGTTTCTTGCGGCAGTGACTGGCCATGTGTGGCTATTTACAGTAATTAAAATTGAATATAATTTAAAAATCAGTTCCTTAGTTGTGCAGGCCACATTTCAGGTGCTTAGTAGCAACCTGGGGCTACCGGCCACTGTGTCAGCACAGGTTACAGAGCAGAAAATCTGCGAACGCGGCCCCAGACAGGCCTCAGCTGGAGTCCACGCATAGCTGCCAACCTGACTAGCTGTTCACCTCGGACAAACTGCTTAAACTCGCCGATCATCTACTTCTTTACTTTTTAAATGTATTAGAACTTTCCATTTTAACTTAATTTGTGGGAATTTAATTTGAAATTAGTTGAATTTGTAAAAATCTGGCTAAGGAGATGCCTTCAATAAACAGAATTATTGCTGCGTCGGTTGGAGGGTGGTGCTAGGAAAAACTGGTGACTAGCGTTTCCACGCTAGTGTCCCTGGTGGCTGGTGTCCCTGGCTCACTCTCAGGTGTTCTCTTCCAGGGATTTCTTCAGTGCCAACCCCTTCGCCCCTCGGACCTCTGGCAGGCTCACCAGTGATTGCTGCTGCCAACCCCCTCGGGATGCCTGTTCCAGCTGCCGCTGGCGCTCAGCAGTAACGGCCCCCCTGTCTGCTGATGCCTGAGCAGAGGTGGAGGCGGCCACTCTCCTCGATGCAGCTCGCGCCTGGCGGGGAGGGTGAAATACTTACGAAGCACCGTGTCTGAACCGTTGCTTGTGGAATTATAGTAGTTCAGTCATAAAAAAAATTATAATAGGCTGATTTTCTTTTCCTTTCTTTTTTTCTTTCTTCTTTTTTAACTCGAACTTTTCATAACTCAGGGGATTCCCTGAAAAGTTACCTGCAGGTGGAATTTCACGGACAAATTTTTTTCTCCCCTTCCAAATTCAGTTCATCATCACTAAAGAACAAAGATAAACCAGCCTCAATTCCAGCTGCTGCGATTGGGGGGAGATTCTTCCCCCGCCCACCATTGCTCCCCTACCATCCCACACTTTGGGGGGTTTGTGTCTCGTTTTGTTTTTCAGAGATTACAAAAATGTAGCTTTTTCAAGAGAGGTAGAAAGGAAGGGGGACCCAACTATAAAGAGCAGCGTCCTGCTAGTCATTTACACCACGTAACTCCAGAAGTGCTTCAGTGGGGTCATCCTGGTGAATCTAGTGGAAATAAGTCTTAATAGTTACATTGAAATGCTGAAAAATTGCCCCAAGTCCTGAAAACTTCTGTTCAGTACGAATCATGTCTTACTGATCTGACCCTAAATCTGACTCACTTATAAATTTAGTTTCAGTTTAAAACTTGAATAACCTTCCCTTCCAAGCTCTCCTTACCTTGGTCCTGTGCCCTTCATCTCCCAACATAGAGCTGGTAGGAGTGAGAAGGCACAGTCTTTCTCAGTGTCCTTTGACTTGGCTATTTTGAATTCAGTTAGTTACTGGGTATAACTTACTGCTTTTTACAAAAGAAAACAAACCATTGTTTATATGGATTTCATGCTAATAACGCTTTAAGAGCTAATGGGAGATGTGGCCACACTTTCATTTTAAGCTTTCTACCTTTTTTTCCTCCTGCCTTCCCTCACTTGCCATCCCGGGAAAGACCTGCCCCTCGGTCTCGTAAATGCATCTGAGAGGGAGGGGCGGAGCCGCTGGCTCCGGGGAAACTGAAATGGTAGCCCTGCAATGACGGGAAAACGATCAACTCTTGTTACAGCCCTGCCACCCCTTGCTGTGTGTATATATAATACTTTGTCCTTCATATGTGAAAGATCCAGTGTTGGAATTCTTTGGTGTAAATAAACGTTTGGTTTTATTTATCAAGGTTAGATTTAAGTTCCCTGTGTAAAGGTCTCGCTGGGTGGGTGTCTCACATTCACATCTGAGGGGCCTGCAGCCCTGTACCGTGGAGGCTTCCTAAGCCCCCATTTTTATACACCCCTCATTCGACCCATGGTACCGGGCAGGGCAGAGAGGCCTTAAAAAAGCACCACAAGCCAAAGCGTCTCTGGGGATTAAGGATCCTTTGCCATAAAACTCATTTTGTGTCTCAGCAGTGCAGGGATTGAGGATGGGAAAAGTCGCCAGTTTTCGTGTGTTTGTGTGTATGTAAAGTGGATTTTCCACTGTAATCCAACCACCTAAGTTTATCAGGTGCTTCACTGAGGAAGCCTAGTTTTTTAAGCACAATAGCAAAACCATCAGCTCTGTATTTTCTCCTGTTATTTCATTACAGTAGCTGCTTGTGGGGACTAGGCAAAATTCTTCCAACATGTTTTAAAGCCTACAGTCTTAGTTCCCCATTCTCCTACCTTTATGGATTCATAAGCCTTTCTCACCTGGGCGTCATAGGTAAATGCAATTACTTGAGGAGTTGAATTTAATGAACTTAACCTAACTTTGTAACCCATCTTGGCTCTAGAAACTTTATCAAAGCAATGGCTTTAGTGAATATAATGGTGAACTTCAGAGAAAGCTAAAGCCTCCTTTTATAATGCTTCTCAACTGTAGGGAAAACGTTCTGACTGTGTGGCAGGGTGGTTTCTTTCCTTGTGGCCACTTATAGTGGATATTTATTGTTCTCGACCCTTTAATGCCCTGGAATGCTGTGGGGGTTACCGTGTTGAATTTGTGCAGAAGCTAAAAAGCACCAGATGTGCCAGAGATGCAATTTGTGATGACATTTGCACTGGATTGTGATTTGAATGGGACACTTACGACTAATAAATTCTTTCTCTTTAGGTGGGGAGGAGGGTTGTAAATCGAGACTTCACACCCCACCCTTGTAGCTCAGAGTCTAGATGTAGCCGAGGCTGATGTGGGGAGCCGCAGACAGCTGGACCTCCCCCCGGGCATCAGACCTTGCAAGAAACTGAAGGTGAATGCAGAGGACTCTGAAGTGCCACCCAAGAGCCTTTTAAAAGAAACAGATTTTTTTTTTAATGCTACTTAAGGAGTCACTGCAGAAGCATGAAAAACCGACCCAGTCCGGTGGGGTGGGGGGCGGGGCAAGGGTTTACAGAGTAACAACTTCTTTGTTGTTGTAAATTACCTCATCTGTATACCTTGTATTGGGACACGATTTCTCAGCACTACCTGTGTCTGCGTTGATCAGACCACAGGAGACGGATGGAATAATGCCAGTGTAAAACAGTTGTGTTGGCAATTACTATGAAAGGGGTTTTTTTAAGTAATTTTTAGCTTTGTTTGAAGTGGGCTTCCCCACCCCCACCCCCATTTTTTAAGTTTGAAGTCAGAAGTCCCCCCTCTCCCTCTTGATTTATTGGTTGTAATTGTATTGTAATTGGTATAACTAAAACATAACTGTGCTGGGAAGAAGTTGTGCCATGAAGGTCTTTAATTTTTTTTTTAAATAAAAACATTTAAACAAATGAAATACCCCTGCAGCCTGAGCAGTATGCTTCTCCAACCGACACCGTGTGATAGATGGCCGTGTCCGCATGAACTTCGAAGTTAGTATCGGGTTGGTGGAGATTTGAAGTGGGATGGCATGAGGTGGGTTGAGGAGTGCCGAAGTCCGGGAGTCTGTGACACAGAGACACAGTGGAAAAGAGCTTGACGTTGCTGCTCAACAGGCCTGGTTCCATTCCCACCCTTGTCACACACTTGGCTGCTTGGCAAGTTACTTAACTCCTGAGTCAGCTTCGTCTGTAAAAGGGGGCCACTGCTTCCTTGGGACTGAATCTGTAAATGTCAAGTGTTTGGCACCTGTTAGGCCCTTGATAAACCTAATTTCCTTGGCCTCCTGGTATGGAGAGTTAGGTCTTGGTCCTGGCTTTGCTTGTAGTTGACCAGACGATCTCTGGATCTCTCCAGACCTCTGTATATTCAGTCCGGAGACCAAGTGAATTGCCTTCTGGGTTCCTTTCTCATGTCTGACATTGATTTGGAAAGTTTGAGCGATGCTTAAATGCAAAGGTCCATGGAGATACCTCGTTCACAGCAGAAAAGACCTCCCTGCAGAAGGTCAGCTTTGGAGATGCCCCCAGCGCTGGGGGCAACTTGGCGAAGGTGCGGTGCCTGGAATGAAGGTGTGCTGATGAGCTTTTGGGGACCTGGGTAGCAGCTTAAATCAAAACCACCAGGAGGGCTGGTAAAAGAGGTGAGACTGAGTTTACTTACCAGTACCAAATGAATAAATTCTACGAAAGTACATACTTAAATTGCCTTTTGTTTCTCGTTTAATTACAAATTTTTTAAATTAAGCTCAAGAAATGCTGTTATCCCAAATCCCTAGGTTCATTTAAATTTTCGTTGCATACTATCTTATGGCATCTGCATGTTATCAGTACCGGGAGTTGAGACGTATGGTTTAGATAAAAGGAATTATTGTGTAATATATCTGAAATGGCTAACATGAGCCTCAACTTCTAGTATTCCTATCTTATACATGAAAAATACAGGAAGATGACATTGTTAGAGACAGGAATGTATTTTGTAAAAACAGATTTTCAGAGTATGGTAATTATTATAGCCCTAAAAGTACTAGAGAAATTGGAGATTGATTTAGTGGTTGACATACTTGGGAATTTCCATTTCCGTCTTTAAATTTCATTTTGTCTCACCTGTTATCAAGTGTGGTTATAATTAAAACTGACCGAGTGTCTCTTGAAAAATCTAGTTTTGTCATCACCATCCAAAGATTTCCACCACCCGATGCTCTCCTTAGAGTTGGGTTTGAGTAGTTTTATTACTAGTCTTCGCCTACCTCCTGCTAGAAAATATGTATTTTTTTTAAATCTCTTGATCTTAGCTGATGCTCTCTACTCTATCTAAAGTACCTGCCTTCTCCCACTGCCATCACCTACCACTGTCCCATTGCCCTTTTTGCTTATTAACACCCGAACTTTTTAGGGTATTATTTCATTTATTTATTGTCTCTCCCACATGCATATAAAATCCTGATGACTCCCTGGCTGTTGTGGCTCAGTGGATTGAGTGCCAGCCTGCAAACCAAAAGGTCTCTGGTTTGATTCCCAGTCAGGGCACTGGAGACCTGGGCCTGCAACCCAGGGGGCGTGTGAGTAGCAACCAGCTGATGTTTTCCTCCCTCTCTTTTCAACCCTTCCCCTCTCTCTGAAAGTAAATAAATAAAACATGTATTTTTTAAAACTCTCTGATGACCTATGTCTAACTTGTGCATCATTATAGAAAACTTTTTTGCTCTAAAGTGTGCCAGGATTCCTCAGGGTTGAAGAGGAATGAGTGGAATAGCACAAGGACATTGCTTAGCACCACGCCAGGCTCAAAACAGATGCTCAATAAGTGATCATTTTATTCTCTATTTCCATGTCCACCTTCCCACCGCAGAGGAAGTTAATACAAGTACTGTTGCATAAAGGGCATCTGAAGATCAGAAGAAATTTGTCCTTAGTCTTGCAACTGGAATGATAAGTCACAAGTCCCAGACTGAATTAACATGATGTTTGTTTAATGAGCCTCTGATGGAATTATAAGAGACTGAAGGCTAAACAATGATCCTCACCAATTCAGTAAACGAGGATGCTAAAATATCTCTGCCTTCCATCACTTACCTATAATAATACAAAATTCAGACTATTTTCCAAGTGGAACAGACACGGGGTGTCACAGATAGTCTGTCTCTGTAGTCCTGATGTAAACAAGGCCTTTCTGGATTTCAGGACCTTGTACTTCTGTGCTAAATTTAACCACTCGGGAGAAGCAACCCAGTAGAACTGCAGATGTCCTGGTTCTAATCAAAGGCCTGTCTGATTGTGTAGTTTTTGATCAGGCACTTAACCTCTCTGAGTCTTCACAGAGACTTAAATTATTACTGTAAAATGTTTTAGACGTGTACCAAGTTATAAAGAAGCTATAACACCCCCATGAAACTACCACTCAAGGTACATCTACATGAACAATCCAGATGAGGCCCCGCGTGTCCCATCCTGATCGTACCTCCTTTTCCTCCCTGCCCTAGGGGTCCTCGTGTTTTCTTCAGCCGTAAAACGGGAGTGTGAACACCTGTTCTGTAGGGTTCTGTTCAAATTAGATGGCATGTCTTAGAAGGGCCCAGCACAGTGTCTGACGTAGAGTTGACCTGATGTGCAAGAGTACTCTGGGTTTTTGTGTAGTTGTGCAGAAGTTGCTGCATTTGTAGGGACGCTATACATTTGAGCGTTTCTGTCTACAGTTTTACAGTAGATGGCAGTGAAGTGTCTTCTAGAAGAGAAAAAGCGCATTCATTGTAACAGGTTTTCAACAAATGCCAAGTGAAGTTTCTAATTTCCATTGCCCTGTTCCCACTGTCTTAAGATTTCTCTCTAGGATTCTGTCACTCTGTCTCCTCTAAATTTTTAATTTCTCTACTAAAAGCCCAACATTTTTGCACCATAGCAAATCACAATATGGATTTGCCTGTCTGTGGTCGTAACCATCAAGGAGTCTAACTGTCCTTGAACATAAGAAGGTGTCCCCCGAGTACCTCCAGATGGCAGTTTATTAGATGGCCAGTCTGTTTCTCGGTGAAGTTCCTAGGGGGGCGTGGGTATTTCTGAGTTGGCTTCACTCTTGCATCACCTGCTTTGGCAGCGTTTTCCTGGCTCCTCCAATGAGAAAAAGAAAGCAACAGCAGCTGGTTGAGTGGTTTCCTGATCCCACCTTGTGAGTCAGAGTCAAACATTTGTAGACTTGCACGGAAAGGCGGAACCCAGCCTCGGTGTGTTAACCGGTTCTGTGAACTGCGCCGAGAACTTCCTATGCGGAACTCCCGATGGCCACAGCTGTCCCCGTCTCCTGACGTATGTACCTCGTTCTGTTCCCTGTTCTCCCACTCGGCTGCTT